CTTTTCTAAAAATGCAACTGCTTTTTCACTTCTTGTTGTTGTTCAGTTGCACAGTCGAGTCCAACTCTTTGCGACCCCATGGACAAGATCTCGCCAGCTTTTTCACTGCAGAATTTTTAATACAAAATTGTTTATTTTGGAGGTCTCTGTAGAACTGGGGGGCACGTTGGCTTAGAGGTTAAGCTGCATACCAGAAGGTCGGTAGCTCGGCAGCTCAAGATCTGAGTTGCCACATGACAGAGTGAGCTCCCGTCTCTAGTTCCAGCTCCTGCCAACCTAGCAGTTCAAAAGCAAGGAATTGCAAGTAGATAAATAGGTACCACTTCAGTGGGAAGGTAACAGCATTCTGTGCGCCTCGGTGTTTAGTCATGCCAGCCACATGACCACGGAAAAGTCTACGGACAGCGCTGGCTCTTTGGCTTGGAAATGGAGATGAGCACCACTCCCTAGAGTTCAATTCAACTGGCTTTCGAGCAAAGGGAAACCTTTACCTTTATATATAGAACTGAGATGTCCAGCGTCTATTGTTGGTTCTAGCTACCTGTAAGGGTTTTATAAAGAACACATACACAATGTAAAGAAAGATGGAACATTAAAGTCTGGGATTTCATTTTCTCACACTACATCCCTGTATCTAGTAGCCAAGGAATCTAGTAGCAAATCTGCAAAATGAGGCTAGACATGACAATTCCCATTTAGGATTCTGTGAACCTGAAGGAATCCTCTCAGCTTAAAAGCAGTGCCTTTGCAGATGTCACACATGCGTGTGCGCACATACACATTGGGTGGCATTTTGGGTTGATCTATTGGCAGTGGCAACCACCACCACCACCAGAAGGAGGAAGGTAGGGGGAGAAATGGAGCTGGCAAGAATGGGGGAGTGGAGCTGGCAGCTTCCTACCATATTGTTCCTTCTGTTTTACCAGTATTACCAAAGCTTATCATAAACTGGCAAAACAGATAATGTCTTGCAGAGTGTTCTGATTTGATCTGGCTGTTCAGATTCTGTATGGCTTATTATAATTAACTTTGATCTAATTGGCGGGGAGGGCAGGGTATAAATCAAATGAATAAATAAATAAAAATTAAAAATCTCTAGGTGTGAATTTTAATAAGCATTATAGACTTTGAGATGCTACATTAGAAGGGATGAGATATCCATTTTCCCCCTCCCTCTGCTTCTCACTTCTGCCTCTAGCTAGGCTTTCCACCACAATGCAAGCTCTGGCTTATTCAAACCCCACCCCCACCCCAATCTGGCTCCAGCTTGCTCTCCACGAGGTTGATGGCCACTGCCACAATGTTGAGCACTGTTGGGGCTGCTACAGCAAGCCAAATGCAGTCCATATTGTCGGTGGGTGGGTGGGTGGGATACAGCATCTTCATGTTTACAGGCATTACTGTTAATATCTGGGTAAAGGTAAAGGTTCCCTTGCTCGAAAGCCAGTTGAATCCGACTCTAGGGTTGCGGTGCTCATCTCCGTTTTAAAGCCAAAGAGCCAGAGCTGTCCGAAGACATTTCCGTGGTCATGTGGCCGGCATGACTAAACACCAAGGCGCATGGAACGCTGTTACCTTCCCACTGAAGTGGTACCTATTTATCTACTTGCAATTTCTTGCTTTCGAACTGCTAGGTTGGCAGGAGCTGGAACTAGAGACGGGAGCTCACTCCGTCATGCGGCACACTCGGGTCTCGAACTGCTGAACTACCGACCTTCCACAGCCTGCAGTTCAGCGTCTTAACCACTTGAGCCACTGCAGCTCCTTTTAACATCTGGGAGGTTATCCCAAAATTCTTTTTTTTAATCATAGCCATGAATTACCCTTTGTTGTTAGATACAGGGGTGCTTAAATCATAGATTGCTGTTAGATGCAGGGTTGCTTAAAGCATAGATCTGCATCCTGTTTATATCTGCTTTTGATTCTGCTTAGGAGACCCATGCTTGGAAGCTTTGGCAATCCACCTCAGTGAGGGGGTGAGGCAAGGAGCTGGCTTTGGGGAGTAATCCAGAACCAGACGGAGGGGGATGGGTGGAACCAGAGCCACAGTGGGCTGGAACGCCAAGCCAGAGTTTGCAGTAAGGGAAGGAAGGGGAAAAGAAGCAGATGTTCTTGTCCATACCCATGATATAGCCTTTAGGGCAAAAGTGGGAGATGTGTGAACATGGCATTTGGCCTAATGGAAGAGAGTTTCCTTACTCCCTTTCTGTCTCTACTTGTACATTATGGAACATTGTGTTAGGAAGGCTGAGGAGGGAAGGAAAATAGCTTCAGAGGATATTGCAATGGCCACGCCTCCTTTCTTTTAAATTGCAAGGTGACATTCCTTGTTATCTCCCATAGGCTTGTGGAGGAGGAAAGCCTTTTAAAACTTCAAGGTTTATCTTCATGTCGCAGGGATCATCATAGCCTGCAGAAACCCACTGTAATCTTATCAGTGATGGTCAGTGTATCATATTTACTTCAAAGGAAGACAACTCTGAATGTATGATGGCCCTTGTAATAATGTTATACACACACAACACACAAGTTTATTACTGGACCTAACTATAACTTATATATGAATGTAAGATGATCCCCTCTTTTTTGATAGCATACTTGGGGGGGGGGACTTAGTCTTGCTAGCGGCTAATATGGAGATTCTGGAATATCAGCCTTTGCTAAATTCAGCTGCATAAGATATAGTGGTCTTACAAAGGATTCCTTGTATGTGCAATCACTTGAGAAATGCCAGAGGCTGTGGTGGAAACAGATGTTGGCTTAGGTCCTGACTACCAATTCAGTGGGCAGAAGGACTTCTGTTAGTGGAGTGTGACTTTCCCGTACTACCCTCTCCACAGGAACAGGGTTTCAGGGGCATTTCAAGCTTCCACAACCATAAGAGGGGGAATGTTGGAAAATCACACTTTGTGAGTGGAAGTCCTTCTGTTCATGGAAACCATAGTTGGGATCTAATCCACTGTGACACATCCTGAAAATGGTAATATACCTGCAGCCTGCAGTAATATGAATGGGAGAGTATTTCACTCAGAGCAGAGTTTAAATCTCTCTCTTCTGGATTTATATGGTGATAGTTGTGCTTATACAATGTTTCCCTTCATTGTCAATAATGTTGTTTATGAAGCCTCAGTGAAAATTATCAAAGGAAAAATCAAAAGACTATCATTTTAAGTTGGAAAGAGAAAAGTTTATCTTCAAGCTCACTCTCCTCCACTCAAAATGGAAATGTTAAATATGAGAAACCCTTTATAGATTGTGGGTACGTTCAGACGGGCAGCTAATCCCATCATTATGCCACCTTGAATTTTATCCCCATCTTTTTAATCCATCGTAGCATGACCAGACATCCCACTGGTGAATTGCCTTACTGTGCGCTGCCTCCATTGTGGATTGTCTAGATGGCGTCCACTGAAGGAGGCATGTGCGGTGGGTTTCTTTAAAAAAACCTTTTTGCGCATGTGCATAGGTGTCACAGCACATCCTTGTTGAAGGAGGCGCGTGATAGTTTTTTTTAAAAAAACCTTTTTGCGCATGCACATAGATGTGACAGCATGTCCTTGTTGATTCGTGCATGTGTAGAGATTTTTTAAAATGGCGCCCGCTTGGGATGGTCTGACGTCAGACCACCCCAATGGGAGGATTGTGCGCTGGTGGAACGATCAGACTGGTGAGTCCGCAGTTGTCCTGCAGGTAACCGAAAACCCCAGATTTAAAGTGCTGTCTTTTAATTATGGCTCCGAAACGCGGCAAAACAGGATGCCCATGGAAGAGGGACATTTCCCAGATGTTTGTGTCTGGGCATTACCTTTAGATCCATGAGGCAATTGTGCCTCGCGTGGATCTAAAGAGCTGTCTGATCAGACTCTGTGTCCATGTTACCAGTTTTCAGTTGGCTCGCAGCCACATCCAGCATCTCTGTCACATTCATGCAGACATGTAGCTTTACACACAGAGAGGAGGTCTCATCCCTCTCTTGGTTTTTGCAATTACAGCCTCTTCTTGGAATAAATTGCTTTGGAAATTATTTGCCAGTTTTTGAGAGGAACAGGGTCTGGCATGCCATGCCTAAGCCACATGTACATAATCCACTATCTGTGGTGTCTGTTCAAGAATTCTTTGCAGTGGTATTGCATAGTAGCCAATAACCGCTGCCTTATCTTGTCCATTCACATGTGCCACTTAAAGCACTCTTCTGTCCTTTTTCATTGTTGGTGTGAACTTGTAAAAGACAGTTGGAATGCATGAGTGTCAGGTTTCTGATCTGATTGATGGTGATGCAGGAAGGCTGAGTTACAAAGGCATTTCAGCTTCTTTGCACCATAGAATGCTTGTGTGATTTCAGTTACTTAGAAACTTCAGTATTATTAAGAATGTCTGGATCTAATGTTATTGGGACTGAGGCAAAAAGTGCAGGGAAGCACTGGTCAAAAAAAAAAAGATTTTGCCATTCATAAGCAGAAAAATCCAAAATGTGCATGCAAAGCCACTCCTGTGGTAGATCACAGCCCTGTTCACAGAGCTTTGCTGAAGGCAGATTGGGAAGCAGCACCCATACTGGAGGGGACCAGGAGGCGGCACTGGAGCTGCTGGCAGGGCTGGCTCACCCACTAGGTGAACTAGGCATTCACCTAGAGCACCGGGCCTTGGATGGGGCGGCAGGCCCTGGATGGGGTGCCGAAGTTTGCTTCCCCCAAAAAAAAAGCCTGCGCGTGAAGTTTGCCATCACTACTCTCCCCTGCTCCACCGCCGAAACAGCCGCGTCCCCAGCCACCCAGCCCTGTGTCCCCTGCCCCTGAGAGCTGCCAGCTGCCGCAGTAACTTCCGCACAGCCGGGCAGGGGCAGGGGAGAGGTGGCCTGGCCATTCTGGGCAACTTCTTTGCCCAGCTAGCTGCGGACCACGCAGATCTGGGCACCAGGAGGAAAGACCAGGAACTCTCCTCCGGGCCTCGCCCCAAAGATCCCGCGGGGGAAGCGGGTGGATTCCTGGGGGGTTCCGGGAATGCTGCCAGGAAGGAAGTGCAGGGGGGCCCACTGCCCTCCTCGCAGGTGCTTCCCAAAGCACGACCTGCCTCTGCTGGGTGTCCCTGAGACTCAAGCCAGCCCCGCCGCGACTGGGACTGAATGGAGGTTTCTGCGGGGGAACCAGCCTTGCCCTCCCCCTGGCCTGACTCTTCCCAGGGGAGCGGGATTCGGGGCCAGCAGGGCCTCTTCCGAGCCAGAGCTCCGAGGGAAGCCGAGCCTGCAGACCTCTGGCTGCTCCCGGCACAGCCTCTCTGGCTGGCTCTTCTCTCGCCCGGCTGGACCTGCCTGCCCACCGCAGCAGGCTGGGCTCTGCAACTGCAGGACCCGATGGCAAGCAAGCCTCACACCAGGCAGGCGGCCTTGTCTGCGAGGGCGGCCAGCTGCCAGGCTCCTTAAGAGCTGCCAGGCGGAGGGGAGGCGGGCCCTGGGGCGACCCAACCACCCTGCCTGCTTCGGGGAGGACCCGCCTGCCCTGCGCTGCCCTTTCCAGCGGGCAGCTCAGCTTGGAGGAGGAGGAGGAGGCCTTCTTCTTTGCCACAGGAGGGAGCGCAAGGGGCCACCCAGCCTCCAAGCCTCCGCCCAGCCGCGCTCCAGGCCAGGACTCCCCGTTTCCCTTCCCCCTCCCACATCTCCAGGCCCCACCTGGAGGTTGGCATCTGCACTTCACCTAGGGCACAGAAACACCTCGGGCCGGCCCTGGCTGCCGGGGCAAACATTTGTAGTACTATGCAGGTGCACAGCTCTGCTGAGGCACTCCCTCCTGCCAGGTAATTGGCAGTGACTAGGGTACTCCCCCTAGCTACTACAGGTAAGCTAATCAGGAAAAGCTTGGTGTTAAAAACATATGCTGTGCTTTCAGCTCCACCAACCCATTGGCTGGCCAGCAGTTGCTGGTAAACATGGGTAGGTAGGTGCCTGGATAGGTGGGAAGCAGGGAGAGGTCATTGGGGCTGTGAGGGGAAAGAAGAACAGGAGGGAAAAAGGGGTGTTGGACAGACCAAAAAAGACTAGATGGGTGAATGGGGGGATGGGGCTTACATGAGAAGGGAAGGCAGAGCACCTTGAAGGGAGGAAGACCAGCAGAGGAAGTGAAGTTCTCCTCCTAAACACTATCTAAGTTATCAAAACCAAATAAAGCTTTAAAAAAGAAAAGGAAAACATGAAAGCTGAATTAATACATATATCTTTAGCACTCAGTGCACATTCTGTGGCTGTCTCTCTCCACAGAACCTTTTAAAAACAAAAGGCAGATACCCTACCAACATCAAAGTTTTAAATATTGGCTCATGTTTAACAAGGAATTATACAGAATCCCTTGATAAAACCAGTAGAATCTGTAATAGAACACTCCTGCAGTTTACACATTATGTGTGTTACTTTGATGAAGACATTTCTGTGTGCTTAGGATTTGTTCTTCCAGCATCATCTTTGTAGCAGTAAAATATGAATAGGCATGTTGGCATGTAGATTAACTGCCACGTTGATTCGTTCTGTTACACTGGTTTCAAAACAGTGGTACTCCATCTACAGTTCACAGAGGGCAATTTTTGCAATTACCTTTAACCAAAAGAGCCACATTTACTTCCATTCCTGGCATGGGGTTTCAGATGATGGCTGTTTCAAGGTGGGAATCACCTGCCAACCACAAACATGGGGCGGGTGCTGTATTGGAGAACAGTGCTCATAAGAGCCACAGGTGGCATGCCAAAGAGCCACATGTGGATCCCGAGCCACTTAGTATCACTGTTTGGAAATAAAACAAAATGTCCATCACTGAGCATACGATTGTAGCCTAAATAGATGGCTCTCCCTGGGTTTATGGGAACACACATGAGAGCTGGTGGGGAGAGTGGAGGGAGGCACACTGTGTCCTCTGTCCTTTTTATATTGTCACAAGAGTGCAAAGAATTTGCAGAGGAGAAGCAAGGTCCTATTATCATCACCTATTGCCACCCTCTCCTCTCCACCACTTTACCAACCCTTTGCAGTGATTCTAGAAAAATCCAAGAGGCAACACCTCTCTTCCACTGCTCTGTCTTCCTGCACCATAGTCTTCAGTTTTCACTGTCTTGGACAAGAGGATACTTTGATTGCCACACTTCGTTCAGCACATGGGCACATCTTGGCAGGGAAGGGAAGCCTGCTCAGTGATGGATGGAACAGAAACAGAGCACAATTTGCGCAATACTGAATAAGAAATCAGTAAAAGGAGTCATTTGTGTAGACTGAGTTTTAATTTTAATAAGCCAAACAACTCTTTATTATAACCAAATCAGATCATTTATTTGCACTTGTGATACAATTTTCTTTGTTTGATTTCTTGTAATATTATTGCCAACATTTTGACAGTGTTATTTTGATATTTAACTCTTATATGAATTGGCATTAATTCCTTACATTAATTTAAAGTACTTTTTTGCATTAGATAGGAAAGCTTATATGTCTTTGGTTTGTGGCTTGCAGATCTTTTCTGTTACCAACAACACAGAATGTGTGAAGCTGCTGCAGGAAATCAAATGTGCACACTGTTCACCGAATGCTCAGAATCTGTTCCACTCAACTGAGAAAGAAGCATTGGAAAGAGAACTAGTCCTTCCTTTCCTGTGCAAGGATTATTGTAAAGAATTCTATTACACTTGCAGAGGTCACATACCAGGTAAAAATACTGAAAAATAGTAACTGAAATTATGTGTACTTTTAATTGCTTAACTATTGTGCAGGACTTCCTATGTTTATCCTAATAAAGCATTATCAAGAAAATACTGCTGGTGCATCAAAAGAAAATTTGGTGTAGTTAAATATGCATAATTGGAATAATTATAATTGATTTTATTACTTCAGTGGATTTAGAAGGGTGTAGCTGCTTAGAGTTTCACTGCTAACTTTATTTGGGCAAGGTGAGCCCATGGGGCACTAAGTTTTAGGTGAGAGTTTCCATACAGAAATAAAAATGTGAAGGCCCGGGATGGGGAATCTCCCAAAATAAAAGGAGAGGTTTTTTTAAAGGAATTTTTAAATTTTCCAATGGATAAATTGGAAGGTTTGGAGAGCACTAAATTAAAAAAACTTTATGCAATATTTTGAAATGGTTGAAATGCCTTTTAAGACAAGGTTTTACTTACTCAATATGTATAGTATGAAAAATTTAATGCAAGACAACCTACAACATTAGGTAATAATTCTTATGCTTGTTGTAGTCATATATATTTTCAAGAATGTGCTTATTCTTTTTTCTGTGATTAATTTGCTGTAACATGTATGATGATAATGAACAGTTGAAAGGTTCAGTGTTTTCAACATTACAAAGATAAACTTAAATATTAAAATATGCAGGAGTCCTGTTGTGACTGTATGAAACTGCTTCTGTCTGAATAATGGATTGGATCCCGCCAACTTTTCCACTAATGAAAAAGAGAGGAGGGCCCCCTTTTACCCACCAAAAAGCTATGCTGGGCATCATGGAGCTCACGTGGATAGAAATCACACAGAATGGGAGCTGCAGGAAAGAGAGGAATCAAGTGAGATGGAACAGTACAGCTGATAAAACAGTACAGCCCAACACATTTTATTTTATTTACTACCAACACTTATTTTCGATTTTCAACTTTTATTTTTCCTATCTCTCAGGGGGGAAACACAAGATACATGTGGAGAGGTGACAGGCATACAGTAGTTTGCTGTTCTTAAGTATTTGACATATTCACAGTTCTGTTTCTACAAAACTAAGGCATTTGTGCTTTTAAATTCGAATTTTATGACAGACTGTACCATTTTATTTGTTACATTATTTGTAACTAATGCAGTTTACCTTGTTAAAACAGGAAAATAAGTATTTCATATATTTCAGTTTTCTCCAGCATTTCTATTTTTTCATAGCTTTAAAAAGTCTAGAAATGTTTCCTCTCTAGGTGCAAGCAGAAGTTTCAGAGTACAAGCTCTGAAGAAGCAGGGTTGGACTTTGTAGGGTATGGGAAAGCTCCCAGCAGGTGTTCCCAGGGAAGGAAATGAAATATGTTTTTCCATGACTTCAGAATTTCCAGGTATTTTACATCTCCAATCTGATGACTGCCAGAACCTACCTCTCAGGCTACATTACAGATAGTATAAATGGTTGGTGTGCTGGCTTAAAGTATCAGACCGTGGTATCATTGAATAACCTCAAACTGTGACTCTTGTCCTCTCTTCTGGCAATCCCTCAGGGACTAAAAAGCTTTGAGTGGTGCATGGCACATTTCAGATATCCTTCCTATGTTTGGAATCTGTTAATCCATCACATTTTTATCCTATTCTTCCTCCAAGGGCTTCAGGATGTATAAAGTTATCTTCCATTTTATTCTTACAATAACCCTGTGAGGCAGTTTATACTGGGAGAAAGTGACTGACTCCAGGTTACCCACTGAGGGTGTTTCATAGCTTGGTAGGCATTTGTACCTATGTCTCCACGCTCTGATACTCTAACAACAAAGTTTCTTCATCTATTTCCTCAGAGAGAGCTTTCCTCAGAGAGATCACACTCCAGGCAGTTTTAAGGGCCTGTAAGGCCTTTGGTAAAGAATGAAGGGATAAGTCACAGTCCATATCTGCTTTCCTTATTGATATACAATTGTGGTTTTTTTCCATTGGTTATTAGTAATATTGTTATAGTTTTGTAAAACATTTATAAAATTACCAAATCTCTGCCTGAATATTTACAGTTTAAATATTGATAGGCCACAATATGGAAGGGAAATAGAAGGACATAAAATGCAAAATATGTAGGGCAAGCTGATGGAAGCTTCTTTTTAAATATATAAAATAAAACAGAAAAATATTAAGGGATGGAAACCTAGCTAAAAGCTTGGGTGTTGCAGAATATTTTAAAAGAAGAAAGTAATTAAGAGCAAGGGGGAAAGAATCTCAGTCATGAGGAGAACCAAAAGCTACAACAGCAAAAACACCACACCCAATCCAAACAGATGATTAAAGGAAAAGCAACCAAAGAAAACTGATGAACAGGTTAATAAAAGAAGGTGATGTCCTGACCTCTTTGAAACACTGTGCTAAAGGGCACTATCAGGGGTCACAGGCAGCCTTAGGTGAAGTTGTGGCAGTTGAACCATCAGGGAGAGATCCCACACTCCTGGCTCTTCTGGCTGTCTAGGATCAGTGACTGTAATTTTAAAACAGCCAAAATGCACAGATAGAGTCAGGATGGGCTTAAATGGGCTGTGTAAAGCTAAAGCTCTATGCCTGTTCTGATTTGACAGTCATGTAAAATGAACGGAGAGCTAAAGCAAATTTTCAGTTGAACTGTAGGCTTCAGATTAACTCCATGGAGCTACTTGGAGAAAATAATGAGTGGACGGGCACATCTGCTTATGCAAGAACAGGGCAGGATTTTTCCAATTTCCCATCTCACTGCAGAACTCTGCAATCCAGCACCATTCCAGGAGATGTCTCAATCATCAGGAGCAGCTTTTGAAAGTGTGGGGAACTGCACAGGGGAAGGGAGGGGTCATAAAGATTTATTCCATGATAAGAGCACAGCTCTGATTCTGTGGGTTCTGCCCAGAGATATTTTGATCAGCGTGAGAGACCACATCATAGTAAATGGGATTTGTAGTGTATTATATGACAAGAAGAGAATGTGGAACATGGGATCTGTGTTAATGCAAAAGGGGCACAGTCCAGAGAGAGACAGGTTGTGCTTGAGTCCTTTGACATCACTGGGATTTAGGAACACCTACCTTCCTATGGATTGTGCCTATAGTTTGATGTCATTTTTTCCTACTGAAATGCTTTTGAAGTAGTGTTTTATCCTTTGAGTGCTTTATTATTATTATTTTGACCATCAAGTCACAGCCAATTTATGGCAACCCCTTAGGGCAGGGGTGGCCAAACTTGCTTAATGTAAGAGCCACATAGAATAAATGTCAGATGTTTGAGAGCCACAAGACATGAAAAAATATTACACACATGTTTTTATTGGAAAATATGCAAATATGCTTTTTATTAACATTAAATAAGACTGCCAAAATAATAACAAAATGGGTAAAAACAGATATTGATAATGATATTTATTTGTCCAATGATATTTATTTGTCGAAGAGTTAAAGAAAGAGAGTGGTAGAAAGAAAGAATGAAAGAGGTGGAAAGAGCGAAAGAGAGAGAAACAACCAAAGCAAATGGAGGAGGGGGAAGGGAGGGATGGAGAGAAAAAGAAAAAGGTGGAAAAAAGCAAATAGATAGGGGAGGGGGGAGGAAGGGGGGGAGAGAGAGAGAAACAAAGAAAACAAATAGATGGGGAAGGGAGGGGGAGGGAGGAAGAGAGAGAGAAAGAAACAAACAAAGAAAGCAAATAGATGGGGAGGGAGGGGGAGGAAGGATGGAAGGAAGGAAGAGAGAAGGATGAAAAGAATGAAAGGTGGAAAGAAAGGAGACAGAGAAAGAGAGAGAAACAAACAAAGAAAGCAAGTAGATGGGGAGAGAGGGGGAGGAAGGAAGAGAGAGAGAGAAACAAAGAAAGCAAATAGATGAGGGAGGGGAGGAAGGAAAGAAGAGAGAGAGAAAGGAAGGAAGGAAGGAAGGAAGGGAGAAAGAGAGAAAGGTGAAAAGAAAGAATGAGGTATAAAGAAAACAAATAGATGGGGAGGGAGGAAAGAAGGGGAAAAGAGAGAGAGAGGGGGAAAGAAAGCAAAATAGATGGGGAGGGAGGAAAGGAGAGGTGGAAAGAAAGCAACTTTAACTTTATACTCCCCACGCCCCCATGCCACCCAGCTTGGGTTGGAGAAGGGATGTAAAGAGACAAATGTCTTCTCCAAGCTGGCAGGTGGGGGCGGTGGCTTTGAGAACACATTTAAAGTTAAAGTTGCTTTCTTTCTCTGCTCCCCCTCACCTCAAGCCTACCCAGGGAGGGGAATGCTGGCTGGGGAAGACTGATCGGGGAGGCATGTCTCTCCTTTGCCTCCCCAGCCACCCTCCTGGGAGCCACACAGTATGTGTGAAAGAGCCGCATGTGGCTCCTGAGCCACAGTTTGGCCACCCCTGCCCTAGGGTTTTCAAGGCAAGAAACATGCAGAGGTGGTTTGTACAGGATAATAGTACACGAGTGTATAAATCTCTTTCATTGGAATCAGTGAGACATAAAAATGGTTGATTTTGGCTGTATCATGACCTGTTATTGTTTTAAAGTATGTGTACGCACCCACAATATCCGCAAGGTAGCCATGTTTTTGTTTGAAGATGGGTTAGTATGACTTTACTATTGCATTTTAAGCTGTTATTACCTGGGAAGCCAGGAAGATATAAGTACCTGGCTTTGAAATATGTATATTTTATATATAAGTACCTGGCTTTTGTATATGTACTTTTCCACCCTGGTATATGATTCTGTACATGTATACATAGGTACATAGTTGGGGTTAATATTTAGAAAAATGTGGGTAAGAGGTTTAATCTGAGCTGAATCAATTGTTATTTAGTACAATGACAGATAAGCAAGGGGAGTCAGGTTTCAAAATACAGTGCAATAAAATCGAAAGAGATAGTTTAAGATGGGTAGCCATGTTAGTTTGTCTGTAGCAGTAGAAAAGAGCAAGATTCCAGTAGCACCTTAAAGACTAACAAAATGTGGGGCAGGACAGGCCTTTTTTTTTTTCTTTTTTTTTTTGAAAAAGA